AACCGCCCAACTCTGCCTTCATTTCCATACGACACGACTGCGCGGCGCTCGCTATGGGGGGAGTGGTGTGTGTTTTAATCATGATTGCAATAATTATTAATTAACTAGATTAATAATTGTGGTAATTATAGGGCTTACACGGTGTGAATAGTCCGGTGACGGCGACAGTAGTGCCCCGTTTGAAAGCGCAGGGCTCGGCAGCGCACGGAGCGATGTCTATGGAGCTGATTGTGTTCACGTCATCTGTGGGTCAAATGTATTGCATTTATTTAAATATAACTTTTATTGTTTTTTTAAATTAATAATTTTTAGATTTATTTCTTACGACAAGAAGTCCACGATTTGTCAGTCAATTGAAGGCAATTGTTTAGTTGAATGAGTGCTACGATTATAGCAATTGTTTTAAACATTTTGTGAGGATTTTTAATTTACTATACGTTTAAACTATTTTTCACTCACTCTTGGACAACATTTAATGTGCACTGATTTTATTGAGTTGTTTTTTGTGTGTTGGCTATAAAGAGTTGTAAAGTTTTATGGTAAAATTGAAATTTATAAATGCAATTTCTAATCTTTATACTAATTATAAATCTACAAATTTCTGCTTTATTACTTCAATTAATTAGTTATAAATCTACTAGTTAAATTAATTTTTTTGTTATAAATAATAATTTTTAGCATATTATTTTTCAAGTTTTACCATTTTAGTTAATTTAGATCAATACATAATATTGTATTTACATTAAATAAATAACAGCATAATTTATTAAATAGATTCTATTTATTATTATTTTTATCTAGCTTGCAGCTAGAGTTTAATTTACTATTTTACTTGCTATTATCAGGAAATAAAATGTTAATTAATATGCCATGGATTCAGCAATTGATTGGTATTTGTTTGGTTTATAAACTTGATATATAATAGGCTATTATTAATAGCAATATTGTTATAATTAATTGTGAATTCATAGGTAATAAACAGCAGTCGTCGGGAAGTGAGGGCACAGTTAGCGGCGATATGTTGTTTATAATGAGATCTCAAACTAATATTTATGGCAAACAAATCGCGAGAATATATTTTTATGCGTTTATTATTTTGAATTGCATTCACAATCATTGGCTATATTTTTAATTAGATGAATACTATTTTAATAATATGATTAATATCGTTGTTATATTCAATAATTATTAACTAAAACGTTATAAAAATGAATACGAATTCTTCTATTATAAATTTTTTGCTCAATATTTTGTAACATTTAAGACAGAGTGAGAAAAATAAAGCATTTGTCGCTCGAAATCTGTTTACAATGTTATTACAAATTTTTTACAATAAAATATAATGTAGTTGACGTCAAATTTAATATAATTTATTGATAATCAATACATTAAATTGTGTTTAAAAAAGTGGATGTGCTTTACAAGCCAATATTAATAATTCAATTTAAAATCTCTATTCAAAAATTTTTTGTACGTAAACAGTAAAAGTTTTCTAATTACTAACACTTTTAAGTTTCAAGTTTTTGAAAGCATTTGTCATAATTAAGTTAATATTTCAATTTTGTAACAAAAAATATTTTTTACCGGTAATAATAAAAATTGTTTTAATTTATTTTTAAACGTGGGACTCAATTGAGTGGGCCTTTGAAATGTGAAAATGCATTCAATTGTATTTGAATTTAGGAAAGTGTTTGGGAATGAGATAAAATGCTTGGTCACTAAGAATTGTCACCTTGTCTTTAGTCTCACATAATGACGGCTTATGTATTAAGTCTGTACTATTATTATTATTATTATTATTATTATTATTATTATTATTATTAT